CATTTGTAGAAGCACACTGGAAAGTGGTAAAGCGTGATTTTTTATATAAATTCTTTAGACCACGGTTAGATTTGGTGACATTTATTTTAATTACACAAGTTATTCTGTCTTAACAACGAAAATTTCAACAAATTTTAAATGGAGTTGAAAAAGCAGAATGACGTAAAAGTTTTAAAAGAGAATGGAAAGTTTTAGAAAAAAAAACATTAAATAATATATATTCAACTAATATTTTAAATTGGGTATGTGGATGTCCTTCATTTTTAACTAGTCGCTATTTTATATGTAAACACCTTATTCAGCAAAGGGAACCAGTAACTATGCAATTCTTTGATCAAGTTTGTCGACATAACCAATATCCATTTCTCGATACATCATTAGCATTAGCTAATGATGGTATTGAACATTTTACACCTCAAACAGAAGCAAGTATTGAAATTGTTGAAGATGAAATTTCACAAACTTATGAGGAATTATACATCCGTTTAATAAATGCAACAGAAAATGTGCTCGAAATTCTTAAGGATCAGCAAAATAAAAAGAACTTTAGGTGGATAAAAAATGTTAAAAAAAATTTTAAACCGATGGAACAAATGGTATCTGAAATTCATTCCTATAAACGAAGAAAAGTAATGCCTCGAACACTTAAAGACCATACAAATAATACTTTATTTTTTGACTAAATGTCAAAAAATAAGCATTAAATAAAAAATAATATAGATATAGTAATATTTATTTGCAATATTCGAAAAATTATACTGTATGTATAACAGCATATGAATTGCTAAAATTAAAACTTGCTGTTTTTATTACTATATTAAATGTCGGTATTTTTAAAAATTTAAATCGATCAGTAATAAAAATCACGTGAAAGTGAAAATTTCAGTGGTGATACTGGGGTAGCTGGGGTAGCTTATTACGGTCACATGTTCGATCGAGTGTTAGTTAATCGAACGAAAGTATGAGGTAATTTGAGTTATTAGTAATGGGTTCATTGATCATAGTTTGATCGATAATAGTAGTTTGTAGTATGTTAGAGGTAGTTAAGTAATTATGAGGTAATGGGGTTATTGAGTAATTATGAGGTAATTGGATAGTAGTATATTAAGGTAAATGTGTAAAGGTATTGAAAGGTAACTTTGTCTTTTCTGCGAACCCGACTTTCGTTCTGGTTATATCGAGCAAAATAATTTTAGCATTTTATTTTAGTAGTTTTTTCAGTTTATTATTTTATTTTATTATGTCTAGTAATTCAGATAAAAATAAAGGTATAGTTGATGAAGATTTGATCATTCAATCAACTAATAATCCTGAACCATCCCGTGGCCAAGTCAATTTCGAAGCAAATTTTGGCCGGTTGTCGCTTGAAATGTTGAAGTTTTTATGTCAAGGGATAGGTATTTCAGAGATCGGTTTGAAACAGGACTTAGTTAGTAGACTGGTTAGTGAGTGTAAAGGAAGGGAAGAGGCGTCTAGCGATTTGTTTGGGAAGGGAAAATCGATGAACTTGGACAATGATGTAGGTGACACAGAGGCTTTTCTCTATGCGCGAGATCGTGGGCATAGTGTAGGGGGTCCAAATATCGATAAGCAAGAAGGAGGAGATTTAGGAGCAAGGGCAACAGGTGTGCATCAGTCGTTACGTTTTCCTGAAGCTAAGGAAAAATTTGTATTCGATAATGATATTGACGAAACAGGATTATGGAGAAAGCGGAACTTGTCTAAGGCGAGGAATCAATGGGAGTTTAATGAATGGTGTAAGGCTGGGTTATTGATGGATAAAGCCTTGAATACGGGAGATGTTGATTATTTACTGATGGCTAGACAAGTAGCATTAGAAAGAGCGTATGTAGTTAGAGTTGCCGATGAAGACGGGTGGGGCGTTGCTGTGAAGATGGCGTCTAACAATACGGTTGATTCTATATCGCAAATGTTTGGAGGTAAGAGAGAAAGAGCTAGGTTAGCAGTGCAGAATGTTTCTAAAAGTAAAAAATTCAAGCTGGCCCAAGAAAGGAGTCAAAGGGTGGATGCTCAACAAAGGGATACTGTAAATGCCTTTCCGGGTGTGCATCAAGGGCAACCTGTTACGCCGGTGTTTTTTCAAGCCCATCCTTCGTTTTTACCTTCTTGGCAACAGTGGCCTAGCCAACATGGGTTGGTATCGTCGCCAGCAGTTATGGGAGTTAACAATATGGATTCGCACATGTCAGGGCAACAAGCAACACAGAATAGTGTTTTACAGAACCCATTTTTGTCAGGAGGTAATAAGTACTCACCTTTTCCTGGTTCTAGGAATTCGTGTGTAGGGAAGAAATTTGATACGGGGAAGGAAGTTGTGTGCTATCTATGTGAAGGAAGAGGGCATTATGCTAATGAATGTGGTTCACGAAAGCACTTGAATATGCCCTTTCGGAATGAGAACTCTAAACAGAGAAAGAGTTGACAACACTCGGGGGATATTAGTAATAAAAGAAAGGGAGCATATGGTATCGAACAACGATGAACAGTATGTAACGGGAAGGTTACACTCGGAGTTGGCAATAAGGTATTAGAAGAATGTGATAAAACCGGCACCATTAGTGTTAGAATGGTTAGAAAAAGGGATTCCTCTATTTCCAAGAGGCGTTATGAATCTTGCATTGGAAACGGTACCAGAACCAAGAGTTTTTACTTCAGAAGAGAAGGAATGGATAGGAGGGGAATTGAGAAGATTAAGGAAAGCTGGTGCAATAGAGCTAGTGGCGCAAGGGAGTTCGAGGCCAGAAGCACTCTTGGAAGTGAGTCCGATATTTGTGGTGCCGAAACAAGGTCCCAAGAAATTTCGCCTCGTTATAGATCTCAGGAGATTGAACAAGACGTTACCAAAAAAGTCGTTCAAGTTCGAAGGGTTAGGGACTTTGTTGAGGACAGTCGGAAGGGGCTGGTGGGTGTTAACGTTCAATTTAAAGGAAGGTTATCACCATCTATTAATGGACAAGGTAGCTCAGCGCTTTCTAGGATTCTATTTCGATGAAACGTGGTTCCATTACAAAGTGTTGCCCTTTGGCTTGAGTCAATCCCCATGGATTTTTGCAAAGGTAATGAAGGCGATTATAGGGAGTTGGAGAGCAAGAAGGATATTTTGCGGGAATTATTTGGATGATGTATGGATAGCACATCTGTCAAGAGAAATCTTGTTGGAGCAAAGACGGGCAGTGATAGAGAAGGATTTGCAAGGATGCGGATGGGTTCGAGTGATGGAGAAAGGAAGTTGGGATCCAATTCAGAGACTGAAGTTCTGCAGCCTTATCGTCGATACAATTGAGAGCTTAGTGGTTGTACCAGTAGAGAAAATTTCTTCAACAATTGTGCTATTGGAGACATTGTTGGAGACTTCAAGAGTGTCTGTGAGAAAACTCACGTCGGTTTCAGGAAAGATTCAGAGCTTAGCAAGGGTGTTTTCTCCAGCTCAAGTGAAATGTTTGGAGTTTTACAAGTTAATAGATGCAAAGAACCGTTGCTAGAATGATTGGGATTCAATGATTTCTCTGTCCGATCAGGCCGTAGAAGATATCCATTGGTTAATAGAGAACTTAGGACTTTGGAACGGGCATCCTGCGTGGAAACCATCGAAAGTGGAGTATCTGTTTGTAGACGCATCACTGATAGGCTGGTGTGGAGTTTACTGAGGTTTAGTCGCGGCAGGAAACTGGACACATTAATTGACAGCAAGTGTAATAGCACAGTTAAAGGCTATCACTGTACTTCAGGCCCTTCAATCGTTTGAGGACCAATTAAAAGGGTCGTGGGTTATGTTGGTAATAGACAACAAGGTAGCATTAAAGGTGGTGATTAATGGAGGACCACTACAATGGCAAAAGGATATTGCCAGAGAGATTTGGAAGTGTTGCATAGAGAAAGATATAGGTATTTACCATACAAGATGGATTTCAAGTTTAGAAAACCTAGCGGATACGTGGTCATGGGTGATAGATTTTGGGGATTGGAAAATAAAAGCGAAGATATTAGATCAACTTCAAAGGCGATGGGGAAAATTCGATGTGGACAGATTCACAAGCCATATAAATACCAAGCTAGAAAGGTTCAACAGTTTACACCTTTGTCCTGGAATAGAAGCAGTGGACTGCTTTACGCAAGATTGGAAGGAATGTGTGAATTACGCATGCCCTCCATTTGCTCTGATCTACCGTTCGTTGGTTCATGCAAAGGAATGTGCAGCTGTAGTAATAATTATTGTTCCAGTTTGGGTTGCGGCTCCTTGGTGGCCAATGGTAGTACAGTCAAAGAAGAAAGAGATAGATTTACTGCCACCAATGGAGGCTGTACAAGCAGGTCCGTCAGGTCACAGAGAACCTTGCAACAACGCGAATTGGAAATTGAGGGCGATTTGGATAGATTGGTCAGAAAGTTGTTAGTTCGAGTAGATATTCTGGGAAGGAATGCGATTAGTGAGATCTATAGGAAAAAATTAGATAAGGCGTGGGATTTATTTGTTAGTTTTACAGAACAGATAAATTATGAATCTTGTCCAGCTTCGGATTCGACAGTAGCAATTTTTTTAGCTTGGTTGGAAATGTCAGGATGGAGTGTTGAGATACAGAATTGCTTAGCTGCGATTGCTAGAGTTCATAAGTTGAAGGGGTTGTATAATCTGTCGAAAAGTAGCATGGTGCAAATGGTTGCTAGTGGCATTAAGAGAGTTATAGCAAAGGACGTAGAGGCTAAATGGCCAAGGGATCCGTTGCCTGTTGAGGTAGTTAAGCAATATTTGGACTTTCCTCCAGAAGGTGTGAGTTTCGAAATGTGGATTAGAGATTTGGTGTTGATAGCTCTAGGCTTAAGAACGATGAGATGGCCAGGAGAGCTTTGCGATTTAAGAAAGAAGGATATAGAAATGAGGAATGGATTTTTGTGGGTAAGAATAAATAAATCGAAGATGGACCAACTTGCAAGAGAAAAATTTGTGCCGATTGAGGTATCTGGTAGTAAATATTGCCCAGTTAGAAGAATAGCTGAGTATCTTAAAATAAGACCTGATATGACAGATGATGCACTATTTTTTCTGTCGAAATCAAGGACTAAGATGACAGTTTCGTCAATTATGGCAGTGGTTAAACGTTTTGCGGAGCATGTGAATTTAAAGGGTAAGTTTATGGCACATAGCTTAAGAATTGGAAGTGCCACTGCAGCCATGAAGGGAGGAATGTCATTAGAGCAAATTCAAGCAATTGGCGGTTGGGTTTCGGATGCTGCTCGTTTATATATGAGATCGGTGGGGTCAGCTGAGTTGGGAGCTTTGACGTTAATGGGATTTTAGGGATGAAGTTTGTGCTGTCTGATTGTCAGTGAGTTGAGTTATTGTCAGTGTATATGGCGAAGGAGTTATTGAGCATATCAATTTTCCTTTTACGATACTCTGGAAAGACCCGTTTAGTGTTCTCCATAGTGATAAGTATACAAAAAATGAGAGACAAAACAAATTAGCTGCTCGATACGTAAGTATCAAAGCAGCTTTTGTCTCGAATCATGTGTCAGTAGATCGAACATGTGATAGGCCCTAGTATAGTCACATGTTCGATCGAGTGTTAGTTAATCGAACGAAAGTATGAAGTAATTTGAGTTATTAGTAATGGGTTCATTGATCATAGTTTGATCGATAATAGTAGTTTGTAGTATGTTAGAG